GTCGTTTTCTCGTGCGTTTCGTCCTTCCCTGCGTGTGTGACTCTGTAGGCTCATTCGATATAGCAGTATAACCCGAAATCTCTATTTCGGGTATACAAGTCATAGGCGGTCTCTAGCAAGACACTATGACTACCTATCTCGAATAGAGTTTGTTTGTGATCATACGAAAGCCAGTGATGATTCCGACTGATGATCCTTTTGTATCGCGATATCATATGTCGAACATAAGGCATGGACAAGCCACCTTATCTGATTCGACTGCTTTCTCGTTCACTGAGTTCGACTGTCTGAAATAGACGACGTTCGTCTATAGTGCGGCCACACATTTCTACAGTCTTGCTCACACGAGGGGCCCAGCGATATCTCTCTCTTTTACGAGAGGTACAAATCCCGTTTTGACTATCTACAATCCAGTACATGATTCGTTTCGTACCTGATACACGCCTTTGTAGTCCTCCTGTTACGCAGGACGTTTGACGTAATCAAAGCACGCAACTCCTCATGTTGGATTCTGTAGATATCTCAGGTCTTAGGATCCAATCATGGAATCGTCGTATGAGATTCAAGTCATGACGCTAGTCCATGTGACAATCTCATGCGGGTCAGTCCAGTATTCCGTTCTGCAACGAATACCTATGATTGTGATCGTATCCAATACCTATGATCATCTATGTGATCATCAATCACACATCATACTAGTCTTATTATGTCGTTATTCTCATAATGACACAAGACTAGGGAGTTTAGTATCATTCATAATGATACATGGATTTCATAACAGATCTAGCATGCAGGAACATGTAATGAACAAGATACTCTCATAAAAAAACATATAGAAAGTATCAATACATCGAATGTATCTGAACAAAGCTCATAATCAGTACATCATAGAACACTAAACCAACATGGGCACCACGGGCTCTCCCCCTACGTCCCCTCGTGACCACTGAGAAATCGGGGGGGATCTTAGGAGTATTAGCCTCTCGGAGTCTTATTATCCATTGTGCTTCATGAACCAGTTCATCTTCTGAGTCAAACACATAGGGGTTTCTCGCATGCCAGGTCTGCTTTCCTTTATCATGGGCTTGGGATTTTTGTGGGGGTGTGCACAGAGTGGGGTTGGGTATTTGGGGAGAGGTATGTGGGGGTGGAGTGAACTGAGCTTTTAAGGGCTCAGGAGTGGGTGGTATAGGTCTTAGTTGTTATTTGTTCGGCCTGATTTGATGGCGAGGGCATGAGTCTGATTTTTTTGGGATAGGTGTTGGAAGAGTTGAGGAGGAATTAGGTTGCTCAACGTCAGTTTGGGGGCAGAGGGTAGAAGATGGATGAGGTTGGTCTGATGTCTCAGGCTGGGAAGCTGACTGCATTGGCTCCCGTTGAGTTTGTCCACTAGATGGGACCGCACAGTTCGCAGGTTTATGCCCGAATTCTTTGCACTGACTGCAACGTGGGGGAAGCCATGAGTCGACGACAGTAACAGTAACAACACCACCCTTATCATCTTAAACCTCGACGACCGTCGGCAAAATGCCACCCAGTTGGATTTCGACCTTGACCCTTGATTCACCAATGTTCAAGGGGTCAAGGCGCATTTTGTCGGTATGCAATGGCTCCCCGATTCCACTTGTGATGTAGCTGATGCCTTTTCAGCAGGGATATTCTTCAGAGTGATCCAAATAGGTGCAGAATTTAATTATGGTTGTCGAAGAGATGATGTTGGAGTCCATTCTGAAATGGTGAACATGACATCTGCTGCATGCCATATCCTCACCTCTAGAATCCATTCCCGGGTGGCGAGATCCGGCACATGGAAGAGACATGATGATTCTAATACGTCTCACGAGAATCCGAGATTTCTTTCCCCAAATAGGATTGAGGGCCTGAAAAATCCGAGAACAAGAAGGAGCAAGACCATAGAAATGGCCAATAAGATTATCAGCCCAAGCTTTCGACGTTTCAAGAAGCACTGAACCCGGAACTTTCACACGTGGAGTACCGTTCTCTGAGTAAGATGGCGTGGTGATACGGGATAAGTTCCTAGAGGAGGATTTGAGTCTTTGAGCCCAGGGAAAATTAGGGTTTGCCCAAGCAGAGGATGCAGCGGGAGTAGGAGACCTGAACCGACGCAGTAACAACAACCAGCGAATCAGGAGCTGCGACCGAAGCGGGCATCAACCCAGATCCAGATCCAGAATCAACCGATTTCGCAGGAGGAGCGGATAAGGTGGGGAAATCTTGGGGGGAGAGGGCGAACTCCAAGCTTGATGGAGCAGAAGAGGAGCTCGTCGCCAGTGGAGCCGCCAGAGGAGGAATTTGGGGGCTAGGGCTTTTCAGTGGTGGGGCAACAGGAATAGTCGAAGGAGACGATGGAGATTTTTCAGTGGGTGAGGATGGAGAGTAGGTGTGAGTGGGAGAGGAAGGTGGGGGAGAAGAGACAGACACGGCAAAGAAAGCGGCATGGGGAGGAGAGATCCAGAATGTAAAGAAGTATGGCTTCAAACATACTTCCACTTGCATGGGAAGTTGTTTTTACCCGCAGGATGGTCGTGGGAAGGCATCCTTAATAAGCCGCATTACTGTACTACAGGGGAACGTGAAGAAGGAGCCCGGAGAAGGTTTTCACCTCATCTCTAAGAAGGAATGTTACAATTTATTTTATTACCGTTTTCACCATAAGTTGGGATCACACCTCTTCTTCGGTGGACCTGGTCGAAGCATATATTGCCCTTGAAATGAACTTATGATGTATCCTAAAATAAATTGAATGATTCAATGTTTACTCTTTAGAGTTATAACCAGCTTATGTATATATATATATATAACACAAGATTAGGTAGTTCAAATGGTAAGAAAGGGAACAAAACTCATTCTCATTCCAGGTTTGAGTCTCCATATAGAGAGCGATATTCACATGGATTTCTCCGATCCTCTTAAAGATGCAATGCACAGTGATTTTTCAATTTATAAAAACTAGAGAAAATAAAAAAAAACTCAACTTTTTATTCTTTTCAAAATATATATCTAAAAAATAAGTAAAATCTTGTGTATTAAAATGTCGAAAAAAAAAGAAAGCTCTCTAAGGGGCGATTGGCGGTGTCCCCCACTGGGACCCCATCCTCTTCACCGTCTGCGGCCATCCTCCCCACTGTCTCTTCTCCCCCACCTTCCTCTCCCACTCACACCTACTCTCCATCCTCACCCACTGACAAATCTCCATCGTCTCCTTCGACTATTCCTGTTGCCCCACCACTGAAAAGCCCTAGCCCCCAAATTCCTCCTCTGGCGGCTCCACTGGCGACGAGCTCCTCTTCTGCTCCATCAAGCTTGGAGTTCGCCCTCTCCCCCCAAGATTTCCCCACCTTATCCGCTCCTCCTGCGAAATCGGTTGATTCTGGATCTGGATCTGGGTTGATGCCCGCTTCGGTCGCAGCTCCTGATTCGCTGGTTGTTGTTACTGCGTCGGGTCAGCAGCCTCCGG